CGTAGAGTCGTCATCAGCTAGTTGCAATATACTGCCTGAGACCGTTACAATCTACTTGTAGATTCCAAATCTACTTAGGTAGATAGATGCAGAACCCTGCTTGCCCCGGTGAACGATGCTCAATCCCTTACCATCAGCTTCTGTTTGCGCGAGTTCTTTGCCCCTGAACTGACGGGAGATCTTACATTTGCGGCGGAAGCTTGGAATGGTGTTCAGAGTCCATCATTGAAGCCTCCAGTTCCCAACTCGCCTCCTGGCGTCAGTGCCGCTCTACTTGTTTGTACTTTCTGCCAGGATCTCTTCCTCACTACCGGCCGTTAAAGTCGAGGATGAAGTCTATCAAGCTCTTCGTTCTCTCGGCGGTGGCCGGGTTGGTGCAAGGCGCTGTCGACCTATATGGCCATAGGGTTGTTGATGGAGATCCAGAGACAACAGAAGATGGTGATCATCAATGGTGGTGGTTCATGCAGTGGTGAAGCTGGATGTGTGATAGGCTCTGGTGGGCAGGGCTGTAACCCCTGCACCAGATGTGGGGCAAACCGGTCTGCCAAGGATGTGGGGCACCACCCACAACAGTTGTACATCCGGTTTCCGAGGACGACCCTTCACCCATCGCCGATCCTCTCAGCTACATCCCAGACCAGCACGACTGCCCCTTTGCCTTGCCATGCCGACTATGCTAATGTACACAAATGGACGCCTTACTACTCTCTCGGTCGTTTGCAGTGCCCATGCTCCTACACTTCTCAGTGCTGCTCCCTCTAGACGACACCAACACCGACGTTCTCATATGGGCTTGCACCCTCGATACTAGTCCAGCTTTTATGGGTGACAGGACCGTCAGCAATGCCGTTTCAACACCGATCGACAATCCGAAGCTCCGAGACGGCCTTCTCGAGCCTAGCAAGAATGCTGCGCCAGCTTGTTTCATCGGCGGCAGAGAAACAAGCGACGAGATGGTGCTTGCTACCAGCGAAGGAAAGGCGTCCAGCAGTGAAGCCTTGGGCCTTTTGAACGGCATTTGAAGGATTTTCACCGCCATAGACAACTGCGACGAAACCTTCCTGTTCGCATACCAAAGACAGACGCTTGCTAGCATGCACATTGGCAGTGGTCTGGGCAAGCAAACGGCTATATCGGCTCTTCAGGCTGTTGCTAGCAGGCTTCAGGACGACGAGTTGACGGCCAACTGCACCATTGCCCCAGATTTGCGGCGATGGGCGAGGGCCTGAAACTGTCATCGGCATCTCAATCGATACCACAGGCGATTTGGTCGGAACCCAGAAGATCGCAGTAGCTTGGAGCCAGGGTGACTGCGTCCTGGGCAGCTATCTGACTTCTCCTCTGAAGCAAGAGACACTCGCCGTCAGTGTGTTTGACATTGCGTCGGCGTTCCTGGCGGATGCTGGCGGGAACATAACCACCAACGCCGCTGGCAACCGCACCAACTACAGCAACGCCACGGCAGTTTCCGTACACTCACGGAGCAAGATCGCAAGCCACCTGTGGCAGAAGGCACAGGCGCTTGCCGGGCGCGCAACCTGCGCCCACATCCGAGTCGAGGCAGGTGACGGCTGTGCTTCCCTTGCGGCTAGATGTGGGATTCGCGGTGCCGACTTTCTGCGATACAACCCCAAGTCAGATCTATGTCCGACTCTCCAGCCCGGAAACTACATCTGCTGCTCTGCGGGCGACCCGTATTCGGAGCCCAAGCCTGAAGCGCCGCAACCGAACGCCGATGGTTCTTGCGCAGTGCACTTTATCAGAAACTTCGACACTTGCGCCTCGCTGGGCAAGACATACGGCCTAACTGAGGC